CCTCTCTCCCCCTCTTCCCCCCCTTCTCTCAATGTATCCCGTCAGCCACTATCGTCCTCTATTTCCTCCCTTTGCCACCCTGACCCCCTGAGCCTTTTCCGCCGATGGATGCATGGATGGACGCATGGATGCATGGATGGATGGCTTAACTCTCCCGCGGGCCAATCAATGGATTGCGTGACTGACTGCCTCACTGACTGGCTGGCTGACTGACTGACTAACTGACCAACCGACTGACTCAATGACTGAATGAAGTATTAACTGGGCGGCCTTTTCTTTTTTTTCTTTTTTTTTTTACACGCCTTTTCTTTTTGTCTTAAGGGTTATTACTGTTTCGCTTTTTCGCAACTGCCCAACCACACGGGACATCAAGTTGTTTAGATGCTTAGATGAGTGTTATGTCTTTCTCTTTTTTTTCTTTTTTTCTTTTTTTTGTTGTTGTTGTTGTTGTTGTTGGGCGATGTAGAGCATCGCAAGGTTTGACGGACACCTCCACGATTAGTTACTGGGTTGAGGGATTCAAAAAAAAAAAAAAAAAAAAAAAAAGGAAGGGACTTTTGGTCGAGGCTAACAACTCGTGTCGTGAGTATTGTAAGGTTTGGCGTACCACTACTACACTACGGGACTCGCTCCACTACATAGCACTGTACATGCATTTGGACTCTTTCTTGACCGGATACATTCATTACCTTGGAATCGTCTAAATGCACCTGGTCCCCAACGCGTCCAAATGCATGTACACCGCTGTGTAGTGGAGCGAGGCCCTTCGTAGCCGACAAACAGAACCAAAGCACAACGGGGAAGGATATAACCCAAAAACAAAACAAAAAAAAAAGGCAGGAACGGGCCAACACGCCCTGCAACCCACACGAAGGGGCCTTCTTGTGGCTGCCGGAATGGCGAGGACCCATTAAAAGTTAAAACCAACAAAAAGGGCAACAAACCCCTTAACCAAAGAAAAAAGGAGGAAAAAAAGAAAAAAACGAGAAGAGGCCCGTTACTCCTACACACGCGACGACAAAACGAAAATGAGATAATCGGAACTGGACGTTCAAGAAAACAAAATAGAGTTAAAAAAAAAAAAGAAAAAAAAGAAGAAAACAAAATAGAGAACAAGGGAAAAAAAAAACAAACGCGGAAGACAACAGACTTAACAACTCCTCAACGCTCTCCACGCAATAATCGAGTTGAAGTCTCTCTCTCCCCGTCGCTCACCAAACAACTCTCATCACTCAAGGCAGCTCGATCGACGCGACGTGACAGCATTTGACAGCTCTGCTGCTACTCTTCGGGTTCTTCCTCTCTCGACACTCTCAACACTCTCGACACTCTCATCACTTGATGAATCAACCCTCATCGCCAGTCTGTCGTGCTTCTGCTACAACAAATCCCTTCTGTCTTCCGAGATATTCTACTATTTATATCTCTTCTCCTTCTTCCAGCTGCACTCTTCTGCGGTCCCTGTACTCTGTAGTCTGCTCCCCAGCCTTTTCATTGACTCAATTTGCTGTGGGATAAGCTCAGAAGAGGAATGGTAGCCTTTTGGGCCTCTGGCTGCACGACTCACCAACTTGAAATGGGCAAAATGAGAACGAACGAATCTTCTGCTAGAAAATGGAAAAGAGATACACGACCATACTGAATCTTCTGCTAGAAAATGGAAAAGAGATACACGACCATACTTTTTTGTCTTTTCTGCATGTGGAGAGCAGGGAAGAGGCCCTTTGTTCTGCTTTAAATTTCCCTTTTAGGATTTCTTCAAGTCCTTAGTTTAAGCCTTCCATCTGATGGTTCCTTTTTCAGACACCAAGAGGGGCGAGTTGCTCCCCTCCCCTGMCCCCCCCCCCCCCCYCCCCCCGCCCCAACAGTGATAGCCTTAGACCACCAGCCCATGGCCAGACATAGACCGCGGCCCCCMCTTTCCGGAGGCCGGAAACGCGACACAGACCTTTGATGAGATCCATGGACGAAATTTATCAACAGCTGAAAAAACAAAAAACAAAAAACAAAGAAAAATCAACAGCAGCCGACCCCCAAGAGTACGGAGTCCTCAACTCATTCTTTTTCTGTAAGGCTGCGGGAGGCCGTGTATTTTTTCAGCGGTTTAAGAGGTAGGTCTCCTTTTTCTTTTCTTTTTCCTTTTTTTTCCTTTTTTTTTCTTTTTTTTTTTCTTTTTATAAAGGTCTCTTCTTTGGACCTTGGACATGTTTCCTAGCAGAACACAAAGCACGCTGGACCTGGTTTTCAGCGCCAGCACTGAGGACTTGCAACTCATTCCAGTTCCAGGACCTGTTTTCTAGCACTTGCACTGAGGACGCTGGACCTTCTTTCTGACTACACTACGACCAGACGTGGATGAATCTGGCTTCGATCACGTCCAGAGTCCCTGCTCCAGAGAGTCATAGACAAAGTCCTACTGTGAGTATGTATGCCCTGAGTATTGGCCTCAGTACTTCCCTTGGCCGTGCCCCCACTTGGGGGGGGGGGGGGTACATCTGGTTCCAAGCAAACGGGGGGTCACTTTGTTGGCCTCGAGATTTTCAGAGAGGAGGGCAGGGGACGACCGCCTTCCCCCGAACACAACGCACCTCTTTGTAACCGT